TATATATATATATATATACGTATGTGGATGAACATACATAAGAGGCCTTATCGCCTGCTTCTGACAAGTATAGGGGCATGACCAGGTCCCTCCAGCCGTCGCCGTTCTGACACGGCTTTGGATTTACATAACATGGCCCTGCTTTGTCCGAGTAGCTACCCTAAACCCTAAACCTACTAGTTTNNCTAGTTTCTATGAGTAGGTTTAAACTACTAGTTTCTATGAGTAGGTTTAAACTTAAAGGCCAATTTGACTTGCCATGGTGAGCCAAACCCTAAACCCTACATGGACAGAGCCCCGATCCTTGGAGACGTCGTGGTCTTGATACGACATGTACGGCGACCAGCACAGTAACGCAATTCTCAAAGCACGCAAGGCTAACATGATCGATATTGACCAATAAAGCCGGAGGTGCTGCCCTGAACCCAAACAAAGGTTACAATAGACCAAACGAAGAGCCTGAGGAGACGATCAGAAAACTTCAGCCCTGACAAACGTCACCATCTGCTTGTCAATGACGAAGGCTTGAACCCGCAAGCTCACCAACCCAGACCACCGGAAGGATCTCAAAAGTACATCCCCTAATTTGGGACCCTGTAGTACTATAGCGTACTTCAACGGAACCCCCTTAGGGGATCTATCCCCAAGGGCCCATGTACCCATACAGCATGTGCTTAGTCCCGAAGTACCCAAATCGGAACTACATTAAGGCCACTGTATCTACTATATGAGTACATGGACCCTTAGAGTATTTTCTAGATCCTTCCGCTGGTCTGGGAATGAATATGTTCCGGGCTAACCCCCAGGCCCTAAGCCCGAAAATCCTAAGCCCTACGCATCCCTACGCACTATACACCCGACGGCCCCGTGAACCTTGAATCTAACCTGTGACCCCCCGAACCCACCAGAATAGCAGCCCTGAGGGTCCATGTAGACAAATAGATATACTTTGGCCTTAAAGTAGTCCCTATATAGGTACTCTAGGGCCAATGTATATACTATTTGGGCACATGGACCCTTAGGGAGTAGGTCCTGACAACCCTTGAAGTGCTAGGTTGTTGGTATCCCCAAGCGAAAGCCTCTCAAAGGTCTCACACAAAACGCATCAAACCCTGAATCCCAGACTTCGAAACCCACGATTTAGGGTTTAAGGTTGGAGGATCCAAAAACGTCCAAAAAACGCAACGCCCCGTGCACCAGGAAGATATCTCAAATCATAGCAAGGATCCCCCTAGAATGCTAGAACTGATGTTGCTAGATTGCTCGATAAGGGGTTTACATTGCAAAACCTATACAACCCAAAGAAGACACGTAAAGGAACCCTCAAGGGAACCCTTCCAAAACCCAAACTAAACCTTACACTACCTTTATAAAACTTAAAATGGAAAACTCCAGTGGGACTCATCGCGCGGAGCGGCTGCTCGGCTGTCAGCCGGCCACCAAGCGAAGTGTCAGCAACGCCACCCAGCGCCTGAGACAGGCTTGGGCTCAGTTCGGGTTTAAGGTTGGGGGTTTAGGGTTTGGGTTTAGGATTTGGATGCTTTGGGATTCTTCTTTAGCGGAACTTAACAGTATATACTACTCGGGGTCTGCGCCTCTTGATCTCTCTATTACCCAAAACTCGAAACCCTTACAAACCCTAAACTATTGTCTATCCCTCTACCCTGGATACGGTCCAGGTCTAGGGATTACGGTTTTAGGGACCACCTAGACCCTATAAAACCTGCCTTTCTCGGGTTCGTTATTATGATTTCCTTAAGGGTCCGCGTGCCCAAATAGTATATACTTTGGCCCCAAAGTACTTATCTAGGGACTACTTCAAGGCCACAGTATATACTATTTGGGTACATGGACCCTTATAGGGTATTAGAAGCCACCAGCCTCGGCGTAGGACTGCTGATTTTTGGCCTCTTGGCGCTCTGCCTGCAGCGTGATCTTTAGCCCCAGGGATCCATCTGCCCATATGATCGAACTATAGTGTTGAATCGGTACCTATTAAGTACTTCAGGGTTAGCGTATATGTACTATAAGAGCACATGGACCCTACGGTAGGGCGGTGAAGGGCTTCAGGTTGGCTTAGACAACCCTAAACCCTAAACCCTAAACCCTAAATTAGAGGGTGCGTGGCCTTATCATGGGTTCATCTTGGGGTCGACGGTTCGAGGGTTTAGGGTTTAGGGTGATTCAGGGTAGTGCAGGGGTCTTCGATGAAACCTTTTCGTTATGGGTTTTGCCTTGGGTTTTTAGAACTTTCAGATTGAGGGTCTGGGGCCCTTAGTGCTTCCATTTTGTGCTGTAGTTGCCTTCGCTAAGAAGTCTAAGATCCCTCCAAACCATAAATACCCCTAAACCCGAAACCCCAAACCCTAGCAGACCCTAAACCCAATCTTTAACCAAAGGCCCGAAAAGGCCATGCAAGCTTGCCATGTCACGCCGGATCCCGAGACTCCTACAGCGAACCCCACAAAGCTGGAACATGGAAGGGCATTGGGGTTATAACGAAACTCCAACTTTGTGGCGTCTGCTATAGCTGATTCAGGCCGCGGGGCGTTCTAGGTGTTCACGGTTTTGCGTTTTTTTTGGGTTTTTAGGGGTTTAGGGGTTAAGGAGTAGCTTAATGGTTCAGGAGGAGCTCGGGGTTCGGGCTTGAACAACCGGTAACCGAAATACCAATCCCTAAACCCAGTAGCCCATTAATAATTAGAATAGGGTTTTGGGGCCCATTCTATATTAATACTTGTAGAAAGGAACCCCCACATTAGTATATAAGGCCTCTCTAGAAGCCCCTTGCTATTAAGGGGATCCTTTTTCCTAACATCAGGTCCGAAAGCGGCGACCACCGAAAATACATCATAAACAGTACTACTGGCAGGTCGTCCTAAAACCCTATAGATCCCTTTTGGCACCCTTTAAGGAGCTAGATCCTAAACCCGGAACCCTGCACCGCGCAGCCAGGGGTTTGTCCCTCAAGCTCGAACCTGCAAAACCCTGGAACCCTATACCCTATACCCCTAAACCCCTAAACCCTAAACCTAAACCCTAAACCCTAAACCCTAAACCCTAAACCTAAACCCTAAACCTAAACCCTAAACCATCAAACCTGCAAAACCCTGAAACCCTACTCTGTGCGCCAAAACAGGCGGGCCTGCCGCAGTAGCTCCGTCTCCTGGGTTCAGGGCCAATTTCCCTAAGTCTCCATGTGCCCTAAGGCTCCATGTGCCCTTTGGCCTCAAAGTACCTCTATAAGGACCCCTTTAAGGCTAGAGTATCCACTATAAATTTAGGGTTTAGGGTATAGGGTTTAGGGTTTAGGGAGCCTTTGGGTTTATGGTTTAGGGTTTTTTCATTGGGTTTACGGTTTAGGGTATTTGGCGGGGAACGCCAGCCACCTGCTAGCATAGTCCGGCGCGCCCTGAATAGTGTGATCCCTGTTTGGTTGCCCGAACAACCTGTCCCTGGAGGCGACGACCCTAAATACTGCACAGTAGCAGACAAAGATTCAGTAGTAACAGTTTCCTCTTCTCGGTGAAGTTTCAACATGAGCAGAAAACTGCAAAAAACAAATGCAGCCTATGTTTTTATGCTGTCAACTCCTGAGTAAGGTGTGGCAACAACGCATTCTAGAAGCTATCGTATTTGTCGTTGTTGTTTCTTCAAGAGTAGTGGGAATACAGTCGGCATGCCTAAACTCGGCTCTTCCTCAACGGCCTAAGCGACCTACGAGATACTGTTCTGCGTATCCAGTGTTTGAAGCTGAGTTTTGGGATCTACTACTTCGGCAGACCATACGTAACCATAAGTGCTATAATGCAGTGCACGGAATTGTCTATGGTCATTCCCCCCCCATATAGTCCCTTTATAACTGTACCGACTATGCCACAAGATCCCCCAATCTTTTGCTCAACAATATTCAGGCCCCTATATTGAAAATCCTAAGCCCCTAAAGCCCTACACATCCCTCAAGGAATCCCTTTATAACTGTACTGACTATGCCACAAGATCCCCCAAGCTGTTGCTCAACAATATTGTCCCTATATTATATTGAAAATCCTAAGCCCCTAAGAGCCCTATAGATCCCTTAATAAGGAATCCCTGTATAACTGTACCCTAAACCCTAAAAGCCCTATACATCCCTCAAGGAATCCCTTGAAGGACCCCTTAAGGTACTGAACCAGACCTCAACACCACAGCCTCGGAGTGCTCTTGAGCCGAGACACATTGAGAAGCCGCTGGTCACCGACATCCTGTGCAGTCCCAGCTCGGGTTTAGGGTTCCTTTACGGGCTCCCTTCAGGGTTGCTTTAAGGGATCTATAGGGTTTAGCCTTTAGGACTCAGGATGATTAGGGTTTAGGGCCCGGGTTCGTATTGTAGAGTTTAGGGTTAAGGGTTTAGGGTTTGGGATTCAGGCACCCTGAGGATCCATGGGGTTTAGGGTTTAGGGTTTAGGGTTTAGGGTTTAGGGTTTTAATTTTTAGGAGGACTTTATGTGGTTTTAACTCAATTTTACAGGGTTCCCATTGGATTCTACACGGTCCTTGTACCTGTATAGTGCATGGTGTGACACACGAGGCTAAGAGGAATACCTTTTTTAAAGGGTTTAGGGGTTAGGGCCTAATTTCTAAACCCTAAACCCTTGGGTGCATGGACCCAATGCGCAATCTGCCACAAGTCCCAAAGCTCTGTATTATGTTATATACTCCCATATACTACTATCATAGAATCAGGTCCCCCCCAAACCATGATTAGGATGGTCTTTTAGGGGCCTAAGTCTGTCATCGTACGGCTGATGATCTAAATCCTGCACTAGACATAGTAAGGAATCTACGATCGTTTCCATAGCTTAGGGTCCTTAAGGTAATGCAGGATGTATATCATCAAAAGCAGTAGTAGTTGTGGGCACCCGGGGTCCCTCTGACCCTAAACTGGCCCTAAACCGTATGATGTTATATATGTAGGGCCCCCCAAAAAAGCACATAAGCAGAACATAGGATAAGGATATCCAATATACATCCCCTTATAATGAAGCCCAATAAGGTAGGGATATCAATGTAAAATGCTTATGCTTACATCCTTTTTGGATCCCTATATAAGGATCCTGCATGAAAGTACTGAGGATCCCCTGGGACTCTCACTGCAAGTCTCGGCCCAGAGCAACGGATAGGGTTTAGGGTTTAGGCTTTGGGGTTTGGAGTTCAAGGTTTAGTGTTTGGGGTTTAGGGTTTGGGGCTTAGAGTTTAGGGTTTAGGGTAGGGTGGTTCGTTTCTTACGCCGTCTTTGGCTGACAAGGCGTTTCGAGAGTCTCGGCCCAGCTGGATATTGTGTTAAGAGGCTTGCGGAGGTGGCGCTGTCAAGGAGACACAGAAAACCAATCCACAACAGGTCAATGGTTTGGGGTTTAGGGTTTAATTGAACTTGCGTCACTGAGCCTTCTGGGTTTAAGGCTTAGGCTTGCGGGTTCCTTTTAGAGCTCTATCGGCGTTCTGCAGGGTTTAGCGTCTCGGCTTGAGTTTACCTGACATAGGGATCTAGAACCCTAAGGGTCCATGTACCCAAATAGTACATACTTTGGCCTTAATGTAGTCCCTATATAGATACTTTGGGGCCAATGTATATACTATTTCGTACATGGACCCTTAGGGGAAGTGTTCTATCGGGTTTACGGCGTAGGCTTGCGCTTGGGCCTTCGGGCTTCGCGGGTTCAGGGGTTTAGGGATTAGGGTAGATAGGCTATTGGGATTAGGGTTTAGGGGCTAAGGGTTTGGGTGCGGTTTGGGGAGAATTCGAAACCCAACCCTGCTAATTTCAAAGGGGGGCCATAACTAGAGTAGGATGTTTGTTTTTGCGAGGGATATACTCTTCCGACCCCTGGATTACATGTGTTTTTGTGCTCGCTTTAAACACTGAAATGCCCTGGCTTGCTAGACCTGTTGCTGTGCTCTCACAACGGCACCCCACTCTAGCAAAAGTCCAGGCCCTGAACCATATACCCTAAACCCTACACCCTAAAATCTAAAAACCTGAAACCCTAAACCCTAAACCCTACTATAAGCGCCCTAACTCAACCCAGGAGGTCCACATCGAGATCTCCATCGAGGCCAAACATCCGCTGGAAGCGCCGGTACCTCGCTCAAAGAGAAGGGTTTAGGGTTTCGGGTTTAGGGTTTAAAGTTTAGGGGTTTAGGGTTTAGGGTTTAGGATTTTTTAAGGGCTGAGGTTTAGGGTTTGTCAGATGACCATCGTCAATGTAGACCCCTGCCCCTTCCTAAAACGGTCACGATTATCGGGATCCGGCCTATAGCCTCACATCTTAAACCCCAAACCCGAAATCCTGAACTCTAAACCCTAAATCCTATAAGGGCTCCTGTAAGGGCCCCCATAAGGGCGTATTGAACCAGCATCTCGAAATTGCTGGGGCTCAACCCCGAGGTTGATATAATGAACACGAAAGAATATAGGGTTTTGGGCATTATTATCATACAAAATTGCAATGAAAGGAAAGACTAAGCACTGATATTTTAGGGTTTGGTGGAATGATTTTGGTATCTAAGTATAGTATAATGATAAGGACTACCATTGGCAGACATTCAATCATCTATATTACAAGTTTCGAAATTACGAAACGGGTACAGTAATAAGGACTCACAACAAAAAGGCATGCGACACATTCGCACGAGCTCTTGGCAGAACCCTAAACCGAATAGCTGAGTGCTGGGCTTCGGACCGAGGATGCAATACCTCAAGGGCGCCTGAACCTACAAGCCCCTAAGCCTGCGACTTTCCTGAAAAAAAGCACATAAACCCCATTAACAATAAACAAAAACCTTAAACCCGACATCCCTAATCCCACAAACCCTGAATCCTACACCCGAGATCAACGTTATCCCTCACCCCTTGACTCTTCATATCAAGCACCACGAAAAACTACTAAACTTTACTTGTGCGGAGATCCTTGCAGCAATCTATAGCAACCCCCTACAAAACCCAGTTTAACAGTACACCAGCACACAGGTTTTAAGTGCCGATAGCACAATTATAGCAACCCTACAAGGGATCCTAAAACGGCGCTGTAGAACCCTAAAAGTCATGTACCCAAATAGTATATACTTTGGCCTTAATGTGGTCCCTATTTAGGTACTTGAGGGCCCATGTATATACTATTTGGGTACATGGACCCTAAGGGAATTATAGTAACCCTGCGAGGGATCCTAAAACGAAGCTGTAGCAGTACCCTAAACCCTAAACCCCTAAACCCTAAACCCCGAAACCCTAAACCCTAAACCGAAGGGATCCTAAAACGAAGCTGTAGAAGTAGGGCTCCAGGCTCAATCATGTCCGAGTCGGAGCCAGGCGCGTTCCACAAGATCCGCTCCGGGAGCCGGAGGTGACTGCCTTTTGCTTTAGGGTTAGGGTTTAGGGTTTAGGGTTTAGGGTTTAGGGCGACTGCCTCTGGAAGGTTTTGTAGGGTTTTACAGCTTTATGAATTCGTTTCGGGTTTTAGTCCACTCTTCATTGTAAATTCCAATACATTGGCCTGGTTCTGGCCTCGAAATGTCTCAATCCCGGCTCTACATGTCGGGTGCTCTGGAACCCCGACAGTACATGGAGGGAGGCACTGTGGGCACATCTCCCTCCGGAAGCCCACCGTACATGGTGGGAAGCTTTTTGATCATGCTGCTGAATCCGCCAATACATGGGGGGAAGCATGCGTACTGTTGGTGTCCCTGTCTCCCGGTGGCTTCCTGGCGGTTTCATGCTGCTCTTCTGATCCTAAACCCTAAACCCTACACCCTACATCCTAAACCCTAAACCTTAAAACCTAAACCCTAAACCCTAGAACCCTAGAGCCCTAGAGCCCTGGAACCCTAAACCCTAGAACCCTAAACCCTAGAACCCTCGTTGACAGCTGTGTTTTGGCTGCCACAAAATGCCCTAGCCCTAAACTGTTTTGAGCACTCGCATGCATTGGCATGAAGAAAACACTGGCAAAGCACAACACGGCAAGCAGCAAGCACCTGGCAAAGAATGCATAGACTCCTGGATGCAGGGCTGAACATTTGCATGACAAGTACCCTGAAACCCTTAACCCCCAGGTTTCTGAAGCCAAACGGACCCGAAACCCTGAGTAGAGGTCTACCTCTTGTTATAAGCCTTGATAAAAATTCAGGGTTAAGGCTTTTATTCTAACGTTGAACCCATGGGCCCCTAGTATGGGCCTTTAACCCTGGGATCCTTATATACCTACTATATACCCTGTATGTACCCTTACGGGTCCCTAGAACCTCCTAAGGGCCCATATTAGGGGCCCATGCTTCTAACCTTGGATTTATGTAGGGCTTCAAGGTTTTAGGGCTCGGGAGGCGCCTGAGGGAAAGTTGGCCATCTGCGACTGGCTAAGGTACACGGCGTCCTGGCGGCTCTCTGCAGAAACCCTACGCCTCAAAGAGTTTCCCATGTCGGGAATTTCCGAAAAAAAGGGGTACCTTATTTGGGGGGGTCCTTAAAATAAGGATTCTACTTTTTAGAGTACGAACTCTATCAGGGTCCCCTATTTTCGGAAACCCTCATGTAGGTACATTAAAGTTTGGGGCTTAGGAGAAACTCTAAACCCCAAACCCTATGTGGAGTCAAAGACATGGATACAGGGACTCCCAGTGGAAGGTCTGTGATAAAGGGTTTGGGTGTTAGGATTTGAAGCGAGTGAGCCCCAACATGGCCCCTGATACCACGACTGTATGGGGGTTTAGGGTTCGGGGCTTAAATGTCACCGATGAATGGTACGGTTGATGATATAAACCCTGCATTACCCATAAGAAGGAATATACCATAATTCCCCATTGTTTAGGGTCCTTAAGTTAATCAGGATTCGTAACATCAACAGTATGGTTTCAAAGCCGTGGGCATGGCATCTCAGTGAAGCTATCAAGGGTTTAGGAGCCCGGGTTTACGCTGAGGGTTTAGGGTTTGGGGTTGAACACTGTACCGTCAAACTGCTCGAACACTGCAATCATCATCATGTTCATCATGTCGTAAGAGTAATACTAGGTAGGAATACAAGGTACGCGTATAAGCTGTCATCGTCAGGCTATAGTACCTGTAAGAGAAGTAATTAAGCAGCAGCAGGCGCAGCAGCAGCAGCAGCAGCAGCAGCAGCAGAAGCAGAAGCATTATAGCAGTAGCAGTAGCAGTGGAAGTAGCAGCAGCAGCAGCAGCAGTAGCAGTAGCCGAAGCGGTAAGCGGCAAAGGTAGCGGTAGCAGTCGGTAACGACAGCGGAATCCGCCGTAGTAGCGCGGTGTGGTAGCGGTAGCAACAGCAGCAGCAGCAGCAGCAGCAGCAGCGGCAGCAGCAGCAGCAGCAGCAGCAGCAGCAGCACCAGCATCAACATTAGCAGTAGCAAAAGGAGTAGCAGCAGTAGTAGCAAAATCAGTAGCCAGTAGCAGTAGCAGTGTAGTAGTCGTATTAGTAGTAATAGCAGCAGCAGCAGCAGGAGGAG